AAAGATATATAAAAAAATTAAAGATGCCACAATTACGAAAAATGTTCATAAGCGAAATACCATATGATCGAGAAAAAAAAACGGCGTCAGCGATGGCTATGAAATGAAGATCGCTGTCATTTTATATGTAAAATTATATGGGGAATGTCATCGATGTTCATTTCTAAGCCAACTGGAGGCCTTTTTTTCTATCATACTGATTGTTATTAGGATTTTTAGTTGTTAAAGATGATTTTTTAAGTGTAAAATCAAAATAGATTTATATAATGATTGAAAAAAAAGTTGAGGAAAGAGTACGTTGGATATTACATACTAAATACCGAATAATCGAAAAAAAAACGGTATCGAAGACTGCTGGGAATAACAATCGAATATAATTTTGGCGAGGTCTATTTCTAGATGTCATTTATTAAAAATTGACATAAAGCTTGTCAAAAACTAATACTAATTATAGAAAAATTATAAAAGGATAGAACGTTTCCAGAAACACAAACCGATATCCAAAAAAAAAATTCGAATTTATACTACACCATTTAAAAATCAAATACAGCCTTAAGGCCTACTACTGCCAGTAAGTGCCATTAAAAAATAAACAAGAGAAGGGGTCATGACATATCACCTCGCCAAAATTATCACTGATTGTCATTTTTTACGCCGTTTCTTTTTTCGATGGTATAATGTTTGTGGTAATAGAGCAATGTATTTTTTGTTTTGTTTATTAATGCTATAAAATTATATAGTTTAAAAGATGAATGCATCTTTGTTTGATATGTTTTATAAGCATTACTTATTTTTTGTTTGGTAATTTCTAATGAAAAGTTAATTATTTATTCAGTACAAGGTCCCGATTATCCGCGAAGAAACTGTTCCAGAAATAAGTAAATATTTTAGAAATTTTCTTTTGTTTAACAAAGATCTTTATTATTGTTGCTATATAGTAATATTTTTATACCTAATATAAAATTGTAATTAGTCACGACAGTTTTAAAATATTCTCATTTTCCACCGTTGCTTCAAGCAAAATAATAACCATTAATTCACATAAATGTTTTATAAAAGTCGTCGTCGGCTCGTATTCATTGAATGCTTGATGGATTATATTACTACTGGAGCAATTTACAGACTTTATACTATGGAAATGTGCATATCATAATATTTCAATTAGTTATTTTCAATTTATTGGAGTACAGAAGTAGTCATTTTCAAAATTTGAAGAGCCATCGAGCACAACAATATATCGTATCCAAAAATCATACCGTATGATCGAATAAAAACGGCGTCAACGATGGCTACGAAATGAAGATCGCTGTCATTTTATATGTAAAATTATATGGGAAATGTCATCGATCGTCATTTCCAAGCCAACTGGACGCCGCTTTTTCCCGGTATTTACGCGGATATAATATTAAATTATATATTACAATCAAAGTAACTACGCCCATGACACACTTTCTCAAGATCTCTGAACAGCGTTGCCATTCTCACGGGAATCCTTCATGACTGCGATCAGCCCGTCTTGTTCCCACTCGCATAGAGTAAGAAACGAATATCTGATTCTGATCTTTTCCTTTTTATGAATGAAATGCCGGGTCTACTTTATTTAGAGGTCATTGGTTTATATCTATGTAATGTAAAAATGTATGCTTAGCATAAACTAACTTAGAGGTTCCTAGCTGCATAGGCAAAATAGGGTTTTTTATAGTTTTAAGTTGGATGTCCTGTGACAGAATTGTCTTCGTGTGAAGTACCAGGTATATCAGCAGGATCTGGATCTTCTTCATCGTTGTTTTCCTGAAAATTCGATTTTTTCTTTACCTTGGGTTTTCTAGCTAGGCTTTTATGATATGTTCCTTTGTTTGTTATTAATTTGATTTGATCTTCTTTTTCGATCGTTGCCTTTTTAAATTTAGGTTGATCTTTTCCTCTAGCTTTCGTTTTTATATAAACTACATCTGATTTAAGGAATTCAGGTGGATCTTGTCTTTTCTCATTTCTTTTTGTTATAATTAATTCCTTAGTTCTTGCGTTTATACTTTGAATATTTCTATAAAGATCTTCAGCTTGTTCTTTATGTTTTTGTATATAATTTGATACTATTATTTCGTCATTTAAATCGACTGGGTCAGTGTTATTTATATGCCCTTTAATTATTTCAAAAGGTGTATGTTTGTTACGCTATGAATTGAATTATTATATCCTAATATAGATCGTTTTATTAATTGACTAGGATTAAGATTTGGATGATCACTTTTTAGACATCTATAATGTTCGATTAGAGATGAGTGAAATCTCTCTACCGGTGAGTTTGATGTACTATTTTTCGGTGTTGTATAGTGTATCTCAATTTTATAAAGTTTACAAAAATGTTCTACTTCCTTGTTTTTGAATTCCGTTCCACAATCGGTTGTTATTTTCAATGGTAAACCGTGATGAGTTATGAAAGTGTATAGATTTTCGATTATCGTAGGACCTGTTAAAGCATTTAAATGATATGCTTGTCCATATCTAGAAAAAGCATCTATAATTGTTAAAAAGCTCTCATTTGATATTTTAAACGTATCAATATGGATTTGTTCGAAGGGTTTCGATGTTGTAGGTGTTAGATTAAATTTTACGATGATGACAAGTTTTTGTCGTGTGGTACAATTCAAGTTTTTCTTTTTGTTCGTTTAATGTTTCGATATCGTTTAGAAATTTACACTGAATAAAATTGAATGCAGTATTTTTAAATAATTTTTGTAAGGTAATGATAAAATTTCTAGCTATTAATTGATCTTTAAAATACATAGCATAAGTTTGTTTGGGGTCAATAAATTCTTTGAGAAATTTTACGAAGTTTTCCGTTGATCGGCGTTGTGATATAGTTACGTATATTCGAGTATTTTTGAATATTTGTTCGTGTCTACATTTTATATTATCGATTTCTCCGTAGGTGAATATTACTTGATTTTTATAGGTGTTTAATGAACGTTCTGAAATAGGGAGACCTATTATTGGTTCTTCTAGAGAAGTATGACGTGTTTCTAGATCAGTCGATTCTTTTTTCTTTACAGGATTTGGTGGTCTTATTTGTATGTCTGAGTGGATAATTATTTTTGGTTTAGGTTTTATTCCTAATATTTCTTCTAATTCTTTTTCTTCTATATCAGGTAGACTTTCTCTATTTTTTATTAATTCTTCGATTACTTCGTCAATATCTCCTGGGTTATTATCGATTGATTCTGTCTCTAAGATGTTTAACTCTTGATTATTTATTGGTATTCTTGATAACGCATCGGTTGCTTGATTTTGTTTGCCTTTTTTGTATTTCATATTGTAATCGAACTCTTCTGGTCGAGTTATAATTTCTCCTTGAAAAATATTAACTGGAACTTTTTTTATTAGTTTTTCATGAGGGTTTACGGAAAAAGAAAAATTTATTTCTTCCGGTTCACGATATTTGAAAGGTACCGTGAAATGGGGTGACTTTCCCTCTTGGGGTGACTTTGTCAAATTCCGTCCGAAAATATGTTAGACGTAGCCGTAGCCACTACTTGAAAAGAACGCGTTATGTGTTATCGGTAAATTATGGGTGGAGGCGCCCCACGTCTCGGAACGTCGCTAAACGCTTGCCGTCAGTTGCGATGTAGCATTTACAGTGCTGTGAAGCCAAATCTGTTTTTAAAGCCCTATTTTGTGCGTTTCAAACTTCTACGTGGCTGCAATAGTTAACCACGCTATATTGAGGTAAGTATTATGCAGAAGTTCGTTATAATATTGAGGGTGATGAAGCATATTTTACGTAATTATGCTTTTAAATGAGGTGGCTTTGGTCTATCAATAAGAATAAGGAAGAGGGCAAAGACACCCCATATAAGCAACTAACTTTGCCCATCCAGTTTTTTACTTTTTTTATATATATATATATATTTGTTTAATAAACAAAAAAGCGTATTATTGTTGTGTTGTCCTTATTACCACTTATAGCATAGACCATGTGCATTTGAGAAAATACAACAATTTTTGAAATAAACACGATTTAAAATTCAGAATTGGGCAAAGTCACCCCACTTCACGGTATTTCGACAAAATTGTTTATTAATCTTTTATTTGTTAAATCGATATTTAGATTCATATTGATCAAGTCTTTTAAACCGATAACTCCATCGAAATAATCGTGGAAATCAAATAAAATAAATTTAATTTTATGATTATTTCCAAATTCCGGGAATGAGAGGTCAGCTTGATATTTTGTTGATTTTTGACCAATAGCTGTTTTAATTATATTGGTTGTTTGATATATACAGTTCGGGAAAAGGTTTTCTACAATAGATGGTTTTAAAATAGAGCGCGAGCTTCCGGTATCGATTAATAATTTTAATTTAGGATTTTTTATTTCTACATACGGAAGAGCGGTACTTGAAGAGATGTTTATTTCTATCATGTTTTTCCTTCTTTCTGGCTGGGGTCCTGAAAATTTCCTCTTGTGCAGGATTTTTGTTCCTCGTATTCGGGTTCTTGCTGAAATTCTTCTAAACTATGAACAGGGTATTCTTCAGAATATTGGTTTTCGTATTCATCATAATTATTATAATATATTATAATAGGTATAATTATAGTTTTGTTCATAGGGATGCGTATTCATTTGTGAATAATTCTTGAAAGGTAAAATCTGGTGGTCCAGTTGATTGGAAAGGTATTGGATATTGTCTATTCTGATATGATTGGATTTGACTATCCCTTTTCTTCGAAGCAAAAGATGGGTTTGCTGATGTCGTAGACATAGGCTCTGGTTTTGATTGTTGGTGTGGTGGAATGGGCTTTGGCTTAAATACATTTACAGGTGGTCCAAAGACTTCTCTATTCGTTGGATATCGTCTTGGAGGCATTTCTCTTGGAGTAATGTTAATTGGTTGACAAGGCCAAGGTTGTTTTTGGTTAAAATTTGTATTAGGTACATTTTGATTGAATCGATTGTATTGATTTGGGTGATTAAATTGATTTTGATTGTTAAATTGTTGTCAGTTATTATTTTGATAGTTAGAATTGTTGTGTGGAAAATTTGTTGCGTTAGAAAAATTATTTTGATTTTGAAAATTCTGTGATGGTGTTGGTTTTTGATGGAAATTTTGTGTTTTGTACACCTTGTTTTGTTCGTTAGAACTGCCGTAAAGCATTTCAAAATTTTCAAATTCATTTACGCACGCCATTGCATCTTCTAAAGATGTCGGTTTTTTAATGTAAAGATTGTTTCTTAAAGTTCCGCTGCAACCCGCAATAAATGTATTTAACGCGGTCTTATCATAGTGGCTTATCTGACACGTTTTCTCTAGAGGCGCTAGGCACGTATCGTTACTGATTCTTTGAATTACGTTACTTTTTAGGAGTTGTAATCTGCTGCCAAAACTTAAGAGATGTTCGTTTTTAAACGGTCGCGTTCTTGTTAATTCTTGGATTAGGCAATCCAAATCACGTCTATCTGAGAAACACTGTATTAAAGCGGCTTTTAATTTTGACCAATTGTCTAATTCCAATCTGTTTCCTATCATTATTTCGGCTTTTCCAACTAATTTGGACTGTACGCACTAAAAAACATGCTGTTTAAAATCCTCGTCTGATACGGTCGCATATTTTAGTAAAAGTGATTCGCATTTAAATATAAAGGTATTTAATGTATTACTGTTTCCGTCAAATGGCTTAATATTTTGTACTTTTGACTTAAAAATATCCCAATTTACAGTTCGCGTATTTTCATTTTCAGAAGCACGCATTCATTTTGTTAATTTCGGTATTAAGTTTTACTGTTAAATTTGATAGTCTGTCCGCTAACTCGTCTACACTCATGAACGTGCTAGTTTTTCATCTACGATCTATGAGCGTAAATTTTGTTTTTATTTTATTTGTATTTTTTCTTATTTTTACTTAATAAAAATGTTTTAAGTACTAGGTAACTTTTTCTTTATTATTTTACTTGTAAGATTTTTTTTCTTTTTTTGGTTTTTTGTTTTTCTTAATCTAATGTCTTTAATAGACTGCTCCTATAACTATCCCTACTGATTTCCTTAAACAGAGGTATACCAAAAGGGGCAAAAAGGAAGGCACTTACTTTTTTTGAAGTCTTTCCTGTCCTTTTCCTGGATTCCGCTCTCTGCTGTCTTCGTCGGGGTGGTTTGCGACAATTTTCTTTGCTCGTTCTGGGCCAGACAGCTAATCCGGATCGATTGCACTATCCTGTCCGTCACTTCACAAAGTTTTTGTTCGAATTTCGCGTTAAAGGGGTTGAAACCGCCACTTCCCGATCTACCACTGCATGTGACACTCGAAAGGGAATACACGAAGTCCTACCGACTGCGCCAGTTTTAGGTTCTGAATTACATTTGTTTTTAAAAAACGATTTTATTGTTACAAACGTTCTCGACAGAGTACAGAGAGTGAAAAACTCTGCTTCGAACCGTGCAGTTCGCTTTTATATGTGACATAATGTAAAATAGGCATTCAGTATTTAATTACAATGAAATAACACTTATTTATACATATAACTCGGAATAAATTATTTGATTGTATTAATTTAAACCCAATTTAAACCGATAGTCTATGTTAAAAAGTTATATAATGTATTTTTTGTTCTCTGTCTCTCGGTCGGCCGTGAGATCGCAAGTGCGAAAATACGCATTGGTGCGTCCTGGCTCGCCGATTCACGCGCCAGGTGCGTGGATCCGCAAGCCACACGCCGTGTAACGGCACCTTTAGCCGTCCCCCTATTTTTTTCTCAGGTAATATATCTATCAAAATAATATTAAAGAAGTTAGACTAGCGATAATTCATAAACTTTGAATTATGTTATTACGTTGACGTTCATATGTAATTAAAATCAAACAATCGTGTTTTCCTGCCGTTGTGTATATGTAAATAAGCTAGCTAAATTTTGAAGTTTGGGTAACTTTTAGAAGTACCTACTAAAGTTTAACTAGCAATGATTCTTAAACTTTAAATTATTGTTGTTACATATTGATATACAGGGTGGTCCGAACTGTATTCGGGAAACTTCGGCAGCATATTTTGCAGATAAAAATAAGTAAAAAAGTTCTTATAAATGTATGTCCTAAAATGCTTAGTTTCGGAGATACAGGGTGTAGAAGTTTCATTTTTATTTCGATTTTTTTCAAATAATTTATGAAGTAACGTCCTGGATGAAAATTGGTGTCTGCAGTGTCTGGGAGCTTTTTGACATGAGAAATTTGATTTTGATGTCAATATGACTCCTACTTGTAGAGGGCGCCACCTACATATTTTTAACTGGTTTGAAGAGTAATAACTTTTAGTCCGTACCTGTATAAAACTACTGAGTAAAAAATATACATTTACAACATTTTTTACGTAAAAAGGTCTCTTGGGGAAAATCGCTACGAGTAATAGTTCTCGAGATACCGTATGATCGAAAAAAAAACGGCGCCAGCGTCTATGAATGAAGATCGCTGTCATTTTATATATGGGAGATGTCATCGATCGTCATTTCCCAGCCAACTGGACGCCGTTTTTTCTCGATCATGCGGTATTTGGAATCGAAATTATCAATATTTGTCATCATTGACATAAATTAAACATGTTGACTAAAAAGTTATATATTAGACTGAAATCATAAATTTGACATGTTTTTGTGTCAAAAGTTCTTTATCATCATTTTTTCGCAAAAAAATTTATGATTAAAGTTTGATTCCATGCATCCGTTGTCCGACGATACGTTGGTACGATATTAATTTCATTGGTTGTATTTAAAGGCTTCGATTGGTTAACCGTTTCTAACCAACCGAAGTCTTTAAATTCAACCAATAAAATTAAATCAAGATGCATGAAAATCAAGCTTAATTTAAAAAAAAAAATAAAAATGTCGCAAACTTTTTATTTCAGTCTAAAAAAAAGTGTTTATTTTTTGTCAATAGTGACATGTATTATAAAAAAAGTCTATACCTATGTAGCGGATTCATCTCTCTAAAAAATCCTATATGGGTATTTCGCCACTGCACTGCAAGAAAATCTACAAAATAAAATAGTTATTTTTTGTAAACACTTCTGGCGTTAAACCCAAACGGAAACTACTTGTCAGAAGTTATGTTTACAGTTATACAAATTTGCCTAAAAAAGAAAAAATGTTTAACGTTTCGTAAGGTTTATCTCTTTCCGTCGTCGGAAGCAAAAAAATACAAAGAATAAAGAAAAAACTATTTAAAATATTTAAATTCAATTATTCGAGAATACTTTAGTTTTTTTAAAACAGATACGTCTACAACAGTAGTTCCCAAACTTATTTTTCTCGTGGGCCACTTTCAAAATTTTACTGGTTTCGGTGGACCCCCTGCTGCTACATTTCTACCACATTCTTAAAGTCGCCAAAAAATAAAAATTGTGTCACTTCTGAGTTCTGTCCCTATATTCCGATATGTAAAATAAAAACGAAAAATGGTACATTTTATATCACTTTATTTATTAAAAGAAATAGAATTACAAGAAAAAATATTAAGGTAATATAGGTTCAGGTCATAATTTTAATTAATGGGAAGGATGTATCTGATGGAGTGTCAGCAAACGATCAATGTTTGGCTTTATTTTTGTGAGCAATAACCGCAAATCCCCCCGCTCTGTGATGTTTAATTTGCTCTTTTTTTTTTGTTAAGAGGTTTGTAACGGCACTAAAACTCCTTTCGACAAGGTATGACGAGGGAAAAGCTATTAAAAATTTCCTTGCGATTTCCCACAGTCCAGGATATTTTTCGGGTATTTCTGCTTGCAGCCAAAATGTTGGGTAGCCTTTTCTAAATTTCACCTTCAGCTCCTCATTAGTGCTTAGCTCGAGCAGCTCCTCTTGTAATACAACATTGGCCACTTCCGTTTCATCAAATGGATTTATGATCCATGGTGGTATATCCATCGTCAGTATATCTTCAAACCTGGTTTTGAAGTCATCATGCAGAGCACTTAAATGTTGACTGTAGGTATGGATATCCTCATCAATACATTCTACCTGCGACAAGTTTGGAAATTGAGAGAATTCGCGCCGACTAATGTTTTGCTTCATAAATTTCAATTTCCCAAGAAAAGCCGAAATTATCCCCTTTGTTTTTATTAAATTCAGGCTGTCCCCTTGTAACTGCAAGTTAATATCATTAAATTTTTTAAACAAATCTGTCAAATACGCAATGTCTGCTTTGAATTTGATCAAGTTTTCTTTTAAATCTGGATCTCTACTTTCTAAGAACTCTAATATGGAATCGAAAACAGAGTAAAATCTCGTTAAGCATGCACCTTTCGACAACCAGCGTACTTCAGTATGTAAGAGCAGTCGTTGGAAGTCTTCATCATTTTCGTCGCACAATTGAGCAAATAAACGCGTATTCAATGCATTGCTTCTGATTTTGTTGACAGCTTTTATTACAAAATGAAGAGATTGGTTCAACCTGTCACTTAAATGTTTTGCCACAAGATGTTGTCGGTGGATTACGCAATGAATAGCTGTAAGTCCTGGTATAATTCTTTTGAGATGACTTATAAACCCACGATATCGCCCGACCATTGCAGGAGCTCCGTCTGTTGCCACTGAAATAATGTTTGTAAATGGGATCGATTTTTCCGTAAAAAAATTACTCAGGACATTAAATATTGATTCGCCTTTAGTGTCAGTCTCCAAAGTTCTGGCAAATAGCAATTCTTCGTGAATTTCTTCCTCAACAATAAATCGGACATATGCCAATAGTAATGCTTCATTACTGGGTAACGTTGACTCGTCCAGTTGTATAGAAAAATGAGTTTTTTGCAGATGATTGCACAAAAAGCTTTCGATATCAGAGCTCATTTCATCAATGCGTCTTTGTACAGTATTGTTACTTAATGGAATTCTTTTTAGTACGTCAAATGGAGATTTGTGCAAAACAGTTTTTAAAACCTCTTCAACAGCGGGTAAAATTAATTGTTCTCCGATAGTGTGCGGTTTTCCAGATTTTGCTATAAGTAATGAGATATTGTAAGATGCCCGCAAGCCATCATCGTTACTTTGAGATGTTGAAGCGAACATACTGTGCATGGTGGGTCTCTTTCCATATTTTTCTTTCAATGTTTGAAAATATTTTAAATCTTTACCTATTTTATCAGTATGACACCTTTTTAGATGATCTTCGAGCTTTGATGGTTTCATAGAGTCATTGCTCAAAACTTTGTTGCATAATAGGCACATGGGCAATTGTTTGTCTGCCTCTGATGGAACAAAACCATATTTCAAATAATCGATACTATATTGTCGACATTTTTTCTTTGCTGTAGCCATGTTTCGTGTCAGTTACCTTACCTGTAAAAAAAAGTTTTAGTAACCAAGTTTTTCTGAATATAGGTATCACACCGCAGCCTTTGTCAGCACGCGGAAATAGAATTACGGCTTGTAAAGGGACCAACTAATAAACCGCTGAGACAAATACAGACGTTTTCACAAAACGGTATCAATTTTAAAGTACATAATTTACCACTAATTTTTAATAGTATAAATAAAAATTGGTGTACTCAG